TTGCAAAGCAAACGTATGGCTCATTGGGCGACATCTGACGTGCGAAACGTGTGTTTTAAAGGGAAAAACACAAACGAAAAGCACTTTTCGGATATAAAAACACATTTCGTAATGAGTTTTGAATGCATTTGTGGCGAGAGTTTGCGTTTGAGTTGTATTTGCAGTGCATTTGAAACACACATTACGTTCAAAACACATTTCACTCATTAGTGGTGGCATTGGATCCCGAGCTCAGCGGCCATTATCATCACCGCAACGGATCCCACGCTAAATGTTACCGCGGACTCCATGTGCGCTCAACTACGCGGTCGTCATAATCACACAATCGGTGGCCATATGTCTGTGCGAGCCGTTGATAGACGCCTCGGGCGACAAACAGCTGATCCGCGCGCTCGCCGAAGACAATTGGTTCGGGCGACTGGCCATCAATTTGTTGAGCTATTCAGTGATTCTCATCCCATCGGCGCTCATCGTCTTTATGGTGAAGAATCGGCTGTGCGTTCAGTCAGGTATGGCATCCCATGACCATCGATGACACCATTCATTATCTCATATGTCTTGCGGTGTCTTCTAGTGAGCGATAATTATTTGGTGAAACTGTTTGTCTTCGGCAAACATGACACGATCCTCGACAACGGGTACCACAACTCGGGATCAGACTTCAGTGACAGTGAGAAACTACTGCCCATTACTGTCAACGACACCGCGGATGGCAAACAGTTGTCACCGAAGTCGTCGTCGGCCTCATCATCACCGATACGGACCAGACGTATAACACTTCTGTTGTACTGTTTTCTCGGTCTTCAGATCTCGTACTTGAGTTGGGGTTTACTTCAGGAGAAGATAATGACCACTGAGTACGTCATCCGAAGCGAGTTCTTCGCGGAGGGCCTTCACAACCGGCACTTCACGGCAGTGGCCGAGCGCTTGGCTCCCGTTCCCGCACCCGGTATTTCCATGCATTTCCTATTCGCTATAATTTATAGTTTTTTTTGGTGTCCATTACACCAACACTTTGGAAAAAAACATTTTTTATTATTATTTTTAGTCTCAAATTAATTGCTTTGAATGTGTTTTAATCGTTCATATAATGTGTTGTTTTAATGGGTTTCCTGTGTTTTACGCAAAGATCTAAGTTTTCAAAGTTTTTTGGCTTCACTTTACAGTCTACTGTACTGTCTCTGTCTGACGACTGTGTGTGTGTGCTCACCATAACGAGAGTACACTGTATGGTGTGAACGCATATTTAGCTGTATATTATTTATGGCATTTATTTTCATTTATTTATGGCATTCATTAGTATATTGAATGGAAAATAATAATTAGTATTTATTTTTTGTGTTGCATTTAGTGCTCAAAAGCTGTGTTCCTATCATACGATGCGAACAGAGATTATCATTAAAAAAAGGTTAATATTATTACAGAAGTGTAGATCACGTCTGCATTCAATAAATAAATAAAATAAATATAAAA